GAGACAAACAGATGTAAATAAACAAATAAGTGTGTATGTATGTATGTCTGTCTGTCTGTATGTATGTATGTATGTATGTATGTATGTATCTGTCTATATATATATATATATATACTGCTTACATATATGTTCAAAATCATATTTACCCGTGTGTATACGTGGAAACACATGCGCTTGCCACATGGAACCGAATGCAAGCCGTCTGTCGCAGAGTATCTCGGACACCGTGGCAGAACTCCAGTGTTGCAAAAATGTGTTAATGTGGCCTTGAAGTGGAAAGTCAATAACTTCGTACCATCGCGTCCTTTCGGCCTACGAGAAATTCACCCTGTTTTTTGTTCACTTTCTGAAATGTTACATGCCCCCAGCATCAGTGAAGGTGTCGACACAGTGGCTGGCTCAGCCTGTTTGCAGGGTCTCAGCCGGCTAAAACGCCCTAAAAGATCTGCATTGCGGAACCAAGAACCAGGAAGCATGCGGCCACGACATGGAGAGCTCGACGGGCCATGGCGCGATAAGCTTTGTAGGAGCTTGAACGTAAATTGTTTTGGTAACTTCTTGTTGATATTGGCAGCTGATGCCGCATCATGCTGCGGCCTGATTTTGAGCCTGCTGGCTCTTGTGGAGGTGTGTCTATTTAGTTCTGTCGGTTCAACGACAAACCGGAGTCATGATCCCTCAAGGTCCAACCTTCCACATGGTTGGGGTCAGTCTTCGGTCTCATCAGATGTTCAACCCTCCAGGGTCGAGTTCGTCCTAGAGTACTATATAAGGGTTTCTTCAAGGGCCGACGTGAGGACCATTTGCTGGCGATGTGCGCTTCATGCTGCAGCGGGCGGCACAGCAAGTTGCACGCAACACGATTCACACTGGAAAAACACGGTCAAGAAAAACAGCATGGTTCAGCCTGGCGAAGACCACAATGACAATGCTGAGAAAGCGGACACATATCTGAACCAACCAGACAAGTGCTAAAGGACAATGCTACATCTGTTGACTGCAGCACTAGCGTTAACGACACGATACTCGTTGTGACCACAAAGTCCGTAGACAATCAGTACTGTCAGCAACAACCTCAATACACTAACATGTTTAGATACAGCTATTGCAACCATCGCAACTACTAGCGCAGTTCATGGTCGAATTTGTTTCTCAAGGCATGATATACCCGAATAGAATAGCATTCGAATTACAATAAGAATCAGAACAGCATACAATATTATGGAACAGAACATAACTTAAAGTAACGTAATATAATATAACAGGCTAACATGATATAAGAGGATATGACAACACAAAATAACAAAAAAACATAGTACAATGACATGTTTGACAAGAATGCAACGAACAACCCTTGGCTCCTGGGACAAAACAAGCAGTCTCCAATTCTGGTGGGCTGAGCAGGCATGTCGTATCGCAATGTGAATATACTGTGTCTGTGGCTTGGGCCCTGGAAGTACATGCGCTGATTTCGCCATGTTCACGGATGAACCCCCTGACCACTAAGACATCGAAGCCCGAAGGCCTGAGAGTATCAATGCAGATCAGCTCCCCGAAACGTTAGGGCTCGTCTTTCGGGTCGATCGTATGTGCGAGAAGCGGAAGCCTAAATAAAGCCCCGAAGCCTGAAAACTGCCTTCGCCCTGAGCCCGAGAGAATAAAGACACAACCTCTCTCTCTATATACATATATACACACATATATATATATATATACTATACAAATACATACACATATACATATACATATATACATATACATATATGTATGCCTGTGCTACATACATACATACCTACGTACATACATACATACATACATACATACATACATACGTATGTATGCATGTATGTGTATGTATATATATATATATGTATATATATATATATACATATATATATATATATATGTGTGTGTGTGTATGCCTGCATGCATGTATGCATGTCTGTATGCAGATAAATATGCATAAAGACCATCAGAGAGAAATCTGTATTCGCACATATTGTATGTATGTAGGTATGTACGTACAGTACGTAATACATGTCCATGCAAAGACCCAGCCTTAAGCTTAAATTTCATCCACGTAGAAGTGACTGTCAAATCTGAACAATGAGAGTGATCGTCGGCTGTTTAAGCTTGTAAGGCCTCCTGCAGGGGCCATACAAATAGGGACTATAAGGGGACATATTGCCATTCATTATGCCGAGCCCTATAGTAGATTGATTACGGCTAGACCTACTTTACGACTTCTTGAGATTCCTATACCAAGCCAACTCAGCCTAAGCCTAAACAGCTCCAAGACCCCCTAAAACCAATGCAACCCCGATTGCGCCGGGTATAAACCATCAGACAGCCGTACCAGTACCTTCAGACTGCAAAGCCCGAACTAAAGATACAAAATCTCAAAGCTACCCACCCTTTTGGAACTAGGTCTCTCTGAAATTCCCCGCAAACCCTAAACCTTGAAGAGTCCTCGAAGAAAAGGCCTCGGAAGCTGCGCGCGACGCCGCTCGGGGCATGGAGGGAAAGCCAGCGCGTCATCCGAGATGTCTACGGGTATTCTAGCAGACAATGGACTATAATGAAACAGAACAAACATATAACATATTGTAGTATGATGAAATACACCTTAGTGTCATATAATATATTATACTGAAAATGTTATTTTATGGGTATGGGCTGAAGGTTCTCGGGTTTTTCCCTCCCACTTAGCAAGAACGAGCCCGCATTGCAGAACAGGTTCGGGACTGCGGCACGTGGGTTTTGGGGTTTGAGGGAGGGCTAGTATTAGGGTCGCTATAAGCGTTGCGATGAGGGTTTTGGGGGCTTGGGGCTGTTTAGGGCCTAGAGTTATGGGTCAACATTCGTTCACGCGAAAGCGGTCTCTGTCTTGATCGTATCTGTTTTTATTTTTTTTTGGGGGGGGAGTCAGTATATCGGTTTACATATTAATCGGACATCAGCCGCATAAGCATCATAAAGCAAGTAATTAGAAAGCATGTCGAGTCATGTCGAGAACGATACCCGAAAGCCCACGCCCAAAGTCCGAAGAAATTCCTCGTATGGACGAGCACGCCAAGACATGACCGCTCTGCCATGCAGGCAAAGCTTCGGTAGAGACCTGGTAAAGAGGATTCCGATAAAGAATGGGGAAGTGTTCAGACATGACACTCTTCTCGAAATTTCGCTTCTCGTTCTGATATCGTTTTATATGATTAATATCGTTCCAGGCCATGTCTCCTGATCTCATTTTGCATTAGCTCTTTGAAGCCTTCCTTGGCCTCCGGATGCATGGACACCGAGAGACAGGGAGAGGAGAGAAACAGAGAGAGAGAGAGGGAACAAAATGAGCTTATCATTATCGTTTTTGGGGGTTCAGTATATCGCTTTACGTATCATACGGCATACCCCACACATATATCTGACCTTGTAGTTTTTTCACAATGCTGGCAACTCATGCCACATGATTTCCGAAGGCCTCCCGAAGACTACTCCCTGATGCGGAGTGTTTAGCTCCTTGCGATTGTGAAATCGTGTATCCGCAATACTTAATATGGGGGCCTTAATAACTAGAATAGGGTTGTGGGGCCCATTATACTATAAATAAAATAAGGAACCACCAAAATAGTGTAGGTAATTATTTAGGCTTCTATATTACATATATCTTGGGATTGCGCCAGAGAAAAGTACAATTTCTCGGCCTGTGACGTGTATCTTCATGAGCCTGGGCTTCAGGCTTACGTAATCATAACTGCCAATGTCAGCGGCAGCAGACAGGAAACCCTATATAATATGTCAACCACTGTCACCGATAGCAGGTAACAGCAACACAGCAGGCCACTTTCGAACACTCACTACCCCTTCCATGCAAGGCCCGGTTTCTATTTTCGGCTAGACTCTCCAAACTAGCCGGGGTTGTGCCCGTTGGGTTTTTGCGAACACCACGCTGCCATCTGGCAGCATAAAGGCTCACGATCAGTCTGGCATCTGAAGGGACGAGAAGCGAAGCTTTTCGAAGCATAACTTGGCAGATTTCGCTGGAAGTCGCACGTGAAAACTTGAGGCGAAAGTCACTGGAAACACAATACGAAATGCACCAGCACAACCAGAATTAGCGTGCATTCGCCGCATTACGAAGGCAGCATGACGCTTGGCATGCTGTCACATTCACATTCCTCAGCTGCCCAGTTGTGCGTATGCATATGAAGAACCGACATTGATAGACAATGTAATTGAAACTCGCGCCCTCGACTCGATGAATGGCTCCGAGAATCTTTGGAAGATCCCCATACAAAGCTTCCATATACCTCAGCAGATTTCATGCTTCACTGCTAATGGCTTCGTCTTTGCTCTGGCGTTCAGGGCTCGTGGACTCGGAGAGCACCTTGCGTGCTCGGGGCGTCTTGAGCTCTAATCTCGCCCATACAAATACATGTATATATATATATACACATACATACATATACATATATATATATATATATGATACATACATCTACATACACGTATATATATATATATATATATGTGTCAAAGGTACACATACATACATACATCCAGCCATGCCATGCCATGCCAACCCACAAACATACATACATACATACATACATACATACATACACACATACATACATACATACATACATACATACATACATACATACATCCACATATACGCTACATATACATGCACAAACACATATACATGTAGATGTACATGCACATACTGTGTCACGTACTCATATTCATACACACATATACTATTCACAAATCCGGCTTGTTTAATGACTAGCGCCCAGTGGGAAATTCGGCTCGCAACCGGCACATTACAAAGCCACACCACAAGACAAGGGATTCAATGGACCCCTGGTCCCGAGCAGAGATGGGGACAAATATTGTGCATGCCACTAGACTCACTAGACTCTAGTCACTAGACTTCATAACCATTACTTACCTCAACTCAAGACTCGGCACAGCTTACGAGGCCTAGCACATCCCCAGCTTTAGCAGAGCCCTTCAAGGCCGGAATCGAAGCCGAGAGGCTCCGGCGAACCAGGGGGCTCCGAGAGGCTCTGGCACGGGGCAAAGGGCGGCACGCCGGTATAGTTGATGGTGAGATGTGCCACGCTGTAGTTCCTTGTGGAGTTTGGGAACCGGAACCTGCACCTCTTGACTTCGGGTTGTAAGAAGAGTGTTCTTGCAGTCTTGCGCTTCATAAGCCTCCTCGAGATGTTGCTAGGCAGCATACTAGTAGAAGTCGACGACGTCGTCGCAGGAGGAGCAGAAGAAGCGGCAGCTGCAGAAGCTAGTAAAGCAGAAGTGGTAACTAGTCGTCGTCGACTACTTCTACATGCCCACGATCCTCGGCTGGTGATCTTCATACAATTACATGCGGAGAAATCAACAACAAGCGATGCTCAGGATGCCCGCTGGGCTTGTGATTCTTCTCCCAACCATGTACGGCTGATGCTATCGATGCTCGTGGCGACAACCGGGGAAGGAGTTCAGGCACCAAAGCAGCAAATGAGGTACTGTTCGTGATGCCCGTGCGGGCTGATGCCCATGGCGGTGGGCGTGAAGCTCATGTCGCCTGCCTTCCCTATCCGTCTCGCAAGGACCCGAAGCCGAAGATCCCCCACTTGCTTGCTCACCACGTACAAGGCCGAGTCGTAAGGACGGATGGTGTGACTCTTCTTGTCAACTTGTGGGGCTGATGCTCATGAGACTCGCCTGCCCGGCCTCATTTGCGGCCATTCTTGTGTGTTTCTTCGCTACCAAATTAAGCCCAGCCAGCTGATGCCGATAAAACTCGCCTTGCTGGCGATTTATGTAACAGGCGTGTCGAGCTGATGCTGATGATACCCGCTAGGCCGATAGGTATGATGCTTCTTCGCGGAAGTCATATAGACCTGATGCTCAAACATAGTTCTGGCATGTCCAAGGTATTGTAAGAAAAGGCCCAGGCACTTGAAGCTCGCAATTCTTTGACTGGCTGACTCGGATGTTTATACCCAGTAGATGCTCGTACGATGGCAGTTGCAATAGCCGCTATAGCCAGCATGCAGAACTGACGGTTAGAATTGTGGCTTCGCGGCTTGCGACTCCGGCGTCATGCCCGCATGGCTTCTGTTTCCTGGTTGGCACCCAGTGCATGACATGCTACATCCCTCAAGTTGCATGGTAGAGTGAAGGATTTAGGCTGGCAAAAACGAAAAGGCCGCCTCTGTGCTGCTGCAGTACCAAATACCAATGCCGCTTGGAGTGGGGGCTGGACATATAGCAAAATTGGCTCTAAACTCTAATCCACTCAGCCACATTCGCGAAAGGAATGATCGTGCGCCATACCCATTGGGATATACGGGACTCTGATGGCTCAGTTTCTGAATCTTCGAAAGCAGTTCAGGGCCCGCCAATCCATGCATAGCCCAAGTTCGATGTCACCCTGAAAAATTGAATAGGCCTTTCAAAAAACACCCAGTAAAACCCTATGTACAAAAAACAAACTTTCTCCACCCAGACGCTTTCTTTCACTGCAGATCGCGACCAAATGTGGATCCCGGCTCTTTGCGGCGTCGACCATGCATCTGACTTGCTGCAACCTCTGCTCGCACGGTTTTTTTTTACGATCTACCGACGAGGTTCAACAGGGGCATCCCAAAAAGAAGTGTGACTATACGGATCCCAACATCCGGGTGATGAACAGAACGGCGATACTAACCAGGGTGTCTGCATTAGCTGTGGAAGTACGAGGCATAACGGGGGATCCTTGCCCTTGAAGTGTAAATGCGTAAACAAGCCGTAAGGGTACATGCATACAAATGTGACCACATGCAGCTTGCCAGCGGCCACCTAGGTCGTACCAAAGCAAGAAAATAAAGGCCCAGCAACATTTTCCATGTCATCTGTAGCTCTGCCTCAGTGATGCTGACGGAGCTGTTGGCCTCCATGAAGGAGTACATGGCCTGTTCAAGCGTGGGCTTGCTTACCGCTCAAAGGTTCGTTTGCAGAATCTCATGGACTTCGTCTAGAAGAGGAGGATCTGTGGTCGCAAGGCCAGGATCCACCACTAATGTGGCAAGATAGAATTGCCTGCTGTCTGCAAGTGTTGTATGCTGCGCAGTCGATCCCCATCTTCGCAGCGAGGTCGCAGACGGAGTTGTCCTTTGTCGACTGAGCGGAGTCACCCTGCTAGCCAGCCATGCGCATGCCGCACCTCTGAACCTGAACTTACCCAGACCCGAAGTCGCACGAAGCAAAACTTTCAAACCCTACACCGTGAACCATTGACGAGACAGTGCTCACCCCTGACAAGACGGGTTCGAAAGGGCTCATGCAGCGGTTTACAGGGCGTTGTGCCGGGGCTTCTTCAAATTGGGGATACCTCATGTAGGTGGATTCTAGTTTCTATGGAGCTCCATGTAAGGGCCGCTAATTTCCCGAAACTTCCGACTGACTGGTTCAGGTTTCAACAACAAGTTGGAACATCCACATAGGAGTTCTTGGTCTCGTGGATAAAGGCATCTCAGAGCCCCGCACCATGTCCCATCGCATCCGTTCTTGATCAGACCCTGAAGCCCCAAAACCTTTTTTACATCAGGACGTGTGCAAATTGCCTGAACCGAAACCCTGAAATCCCTAAACTCCTAAATCTGAGCAAGGACTGCAGACAGCTTAGCCATGAGCCTAAATCCGTGAAGGTTCCAGAAACTGAGCATCGACCTGGGTCGAACCATCGCCTCTGACCGGCTTCCTAGAAGTTCTACGAGACCTGCAATGATGTACACACGCTTAAATATAATATAATACAACATAATATAATATGATATAATATAATATAATATAATATAATATGATATAACATAATATAATATAATATAATATAATATAATATAATATAATATAATATAATGAACTAGAATATACTAGAATATACTAGAATATAATATAACATAATATAACATAATATAACATAATATAATATAATATAACATAATATAACATAATATAATATAATATAATATAATATAATATAATATAATATAGTATAATCTAATATAATATAATATAATTTAATATAATATAATACAATATAATATAATATAGTATAGTATAAAATAATATAATAAAAAAATATGATATAATATGATATAATATAATATAATATAATATAATTTAATATAATATAATATAATATAACATAATATGATATAATATGATATAATATGATATAATATGATATAATATGATATAACATAACATAACATAACATAACATAACATAACATAACATAACATAACATAACATATGATATAATATAATATAATATAATATAATATAATATAATATAATATAATATAATATAATATAATATAATATAATATAATATATAGGGACTGCCATGTTGAACCTGGTGGTTGCTCTTAAGAAAACGCCGAGGGCCACTCCTCGCCCCTGAAACACACACGTACACACATACACACATAGGTACGGACGTGCATACAGACATACAGTCAGGAATACATACATACATCCATACACATATAGATACATACATACGCACGTACAGACAGACAGACAGACAGACAGACAGACAGACAGACAGACAGACAGACAGACAGACAGACAGACAGACAGACAGACAGACAGACAGACAGACAGACAGACAGACAGACATACATATAGATTTACCCATGTAAACACAAACACATACACACACACACACACGCCTACATGATAGGTACACACAGGTTTTAGCATTCGCACTCGACCATGTCAGGCTACATGAATACGCGCATACACAGGAAATTAACAAGTTTGCATATGTGACTCGATGAACTAGATAAAAACAAAACCGACGAAACCGAAGCAAATTGACCCCAGGCGTCCAGTTTCAGCTGCTTGAAGTCGCACTGGCCCTTCAAGTCCGAGAGCTCCGAAGTTCTGTTGGTGCACTGAGCTCTCTGAGCCAAAAGCCTCTCCGTCGCATTGCCACACTCCTGAGCGGGCCGGCTCTAGGGCTTCAAAGCTTTGGGGTTTAGAGGGTTTAGGGGTTTAGCTTTGGAGTCTCGCGACTCGGGCAGTGCAGGCGAGGCTTGTCCATGGCCCCGGGTCGGAGCTTTAGGGTTTATAGGGCTCCTGAGGAGGTCTGTCGGGACACGGAGCTGAGTCTCTGTGCCTTTTCGAACGCCATCGCAGACCCTGGCAGGAATCCGAAAGCCCTTCAGCACGGGTTCACGCGAAACTTTGCAAGAAAGGTGCGTGCTTGCGCATCAGCAGGTTGCCCAGGCTCGCCTCGAACTCCTCTGCTCTGTAGGCTGAAGTCTGCACAGCTTCAGACGACGGCTCTGGGGTTTGGAGGATACGAAATAACGACACATCTGACGAGCTGCATGCCGTTTTTGGCTTTGCCGAAACGAAGGAAGATCCAGACCGCGTCGAGTTCAAACTGGCCAATGACAGTTTCACAAGGTAGAAAAAGCCACGCACCTCGACATACATACAAACGCCGCATAGAATGACAATCTGTAAGGCTACATAAAACGCATGAAATGTATACATTGGCATACATGACATGACCCAACCTGACCTGATATGACATGAACACATACATGCATACATACAGACAGACAGCCAGGCAGACAGAATGCGTGTTGTACATGTACATACATATGCATGTCTGTGTGCATGTCTGCATGTATTAGATATTGAAACCTTTCAGAAACCAGTACAAGCAAATATAAATGGAGATCGGCAAGTATGCAGAGTACAAACAAACACATAGAAATATCAGCAATCATCGATCTTAAAAAATGTCAAGCTTAATACATGTAATCAGCAAATGTTTCCAAAAAGCTCGCAACAAACACCAACAGGGAATATCAACGCCCAAAGCCAAAACGACAGGGACGAACAACGGAAAGCAAGCATCAATTGGCGCAGTCTCGCACCCCTATGCAAGACTGGACGCCGGATGTCCTTGATTTGCCGCTCGTGGTAAGCTTCCACCTGAGGACTGTTGAGCCCCAATTTGCGCCCTACTGGTTAAGGGGCTTTAAGAACGGTGTATTGCACCCATCTCAGCCGTTGCGCCACCCAAACGTTTCACCTAGAACCCGAAAACCCGCTCAACACCACCCAGCAGAAACTGCACGGTTGCACCAGATTCCACCACTTTGCGCCTCCTCCCCTCCATGGGCCATGCATGGTGGAGCGGTTGGAAGCACATCGGTCTCCTAGGCCGGAGGAACGGAAAAAAAACTAGGATCTGGCAAGGTGTATTGCTATGTCTCGCTTACAGGGTTTAGGGTTTAGGGCTTTTAGGGTTTGTAGGGTTTAGGGTATAGCCGGTATAGCGGTTATACTATAGCTTGTCCATTTCGGAGATGGGAGACCCAGAGCGGGGTCATCTCCAGCATCGTCGCTGGAAGGCCCACTGACTTTGCGCTTGCTGGTCCATTTAGGGCTTCGGGCTTCGGGTGTACCTATAGTCTCCATTGTAGTTCCTTTTGGGGTTACCTTTTGGGATCCTTATTATAGAATTGGTTAAACCAAAAAAAGGAACTACAATGGAGACTATAGGTAGGGCTCTGCAGCTCCAGTTTGGAGGTAGCTGAACTGACTTCTTTCCGGGCTTGTAGAGCAGGTGTGGAGCACCGTCCTGCCACTTCCAGACAGGACGCTTGCAGATGTGCTGCTTTGCTTTGCGCTTCCTTTCCCTTCCCGGAGCATGCGCTCTCCCCCGCACCCTCAACGAGGACTGAGATTTGCCCAAAGTTCTGGGACAGAGATAAGTCTCAAGGAAGGGACTGCTTGTGGCCTCTCGATCAAAGCCGAGCTGCCTTGTAGAGCGTGCACTTGGCAGATTCGATGCTCTCCGCAGCTGAAAGAAGTGTAGCGCAGGAGGTGACCTTAAAGATTCGAGTCAAGAAAACAGAACCTGCGCAGAACGCGTAGACGTAAACCCTAAGCAACCTTCGTCGAGGAGCCCTCGATTGGTATTATACTCTTTGTGTATTAGACTATAATTTATAACATATCCTAATACGTTCCATTACATCATATAAATATTATACTAGATGATTTTTAAAACTCCTTAAGCCAAGGATTTTGAAGTCAAGGGGTCTTTAGGCCCCACCCTCCGTGAGGAGTCCCTAGGCTTTTGACCCTTCCGTATATAGATCTCTACATGAAGGTCCCCAAAGCGGGCCCAAAACACCCTAAGCAGTCCCTCCAAGCCATGCTCTCACAGGTCCAAATGCTTTCGCAGCCTTGGCAGGCTAAACGGTCCAGCTTTGGAACATCCACATCAGGAAGATTGCAGGGGGTCCGAAGGGTACCCGGCATACCAAAGCATCACAATCCTTTAATGGAACATGCAACAAGATTGAAGCCCCAGATAGCTCCTGCACGCTACTAAACCCCAAAGCCCCTAAACCCCCTAAACCTCAATGCCGATTGAAACCCTTCTTAAAGCCTACTACTACTACTGCTGCTGCTGCTGCTGCTGCTACTACTACTACTACTACTACTACTACTACTACTACAAATATAGAGGTCTGACAAATTTAAGACTACATGTCCCCTTATAGCCCCTTGTATCATTCTGCGGCTAACGTGCCCATAACCCTGGTCTGATATTTTTGCGGCCTCTCTATGTCCTGACGGATAGAACTATACAACTCTTGAAGGAATGAAACTCTATATTCCCTAGACCCTGAACTTTACACCCTGAAAGCCGAAACCCTGAACCCTAAACCTGCTGGCCTGGTCCGAAAGCAAGGACTGCTGCTTTCGACAGAGCTCGTGCTCGCTCGTGAGGTCCACGGTTACGGCCCTGAGTTCCGGATGATTTCTTCGAAGGCTGCAGGCCAACGAAAAGAAGCCCGCTACATGGCCAGTGTGATTCGAAACAGTGTATCTACGGATGCATGTACTTATGTGTGCATGTATGCTTGTTTGTGTCTATGTATGCATGCATGAACGCAAGTACGTGCATATGTGTACCCATGTATATGGGCATTTGGGCAAAAGAGTATGGGTGTACACGTGTTGCATGCACATCATATAGCTATGTAGACACGTATAAATTTCCGAGAACAAAAAGTTTGGAACGACTTTTCGAGGCTATGCGAACTGCAATGTGTCTGCACAAACCCTAAACCCTAAACCGTTGTGGCAGCCTGTCTTGAAGTTTGAACTTCGTGGGCCTCGGGACATGCTGAAGCTTTGTATTCCTAGAACCTAACCTTGGGACCAAGTCTGGGTTCCTGGGCCTGCAGATACTACACGGGCCTTCACAATTAGCATAGAGCTTGGGGGTAATATTATACTAAACTCATGAGAAGGAACCCCAAAATAGTACGTATTGGTAACTATTTAACGCTCAGATTGCTAGGGCTGCTAGGGAACTACCAGGCCCTTTGCCGGATTATCGGGATGCAGGCGAGGCTCTGATCCTTGACAGACCTGTTGAAAGCATGAAGCTGGTCCTCCTCACACCTAGGTTGGCCCCCCAACAAGCCTCTGAAAAATATTCCTAAATAAGATCCTCTTAAGCCCAATAAGGGAAAATATAAAATGTCCCAAAGGCCTACCTAGACACTTGATGAAAAGCTCATAAAAGCCATCCATCTGGTCTTGTGCGATGGAAAAATCCAGGTTGACGGATGGCTCAAGCGTGTCATTAACGATGCCGTTCACGCCCTCCAGGATTTCATCCACCTGGGGCTTGTGCCAGCAAAAGGGCATCCTTATGATTGCAAACTCCGCTCGGCACCCCCAACTCCTCAATCCCAACGCCTTCAAAGCATGGAAAATCACCGACTTCCCAAATCACAACCCAAGGAAGCACCCAAAAAATTCCCCACCTCGTCCCCACTAAGATTGGAGGATCCGGCCACCGTCAGAAGCACCGACTTCACAGCCGTTATGTTCCTGGCGTAGAGACCCGCCTCTATCTCGTTCAGGTCGCGCAGAACGCCTGCAGAATTTGCTCTTTTTACGTAAAGGTTTCTGTCAAGGGGATCTAGAATGGACCTTCTTTACTTTAGTGGCCTTTAAAATTGCAAGAAGACGGTTAGGCGTGTATGCTAGATTAGACTCATCTACGACTAATCATTCAGAACCCCTTTCGTAGCTAAGGGTTGCGGGTTCAGTAAAATATAACTCTAGACGGATCAACACGGAATCTGAGAACTGATCGTTCGGCCTCCAATTCACGGAAAATTCCGGAACAGATCTCCTACAATCAATTCACCGGATCCAACCATTCCGGCTTCATCCAAGTGCAAGCCCAAGCCATCCCAGACATTTTCTATACTATATGTTCTGTATTCTCTATCGTCTGCTATCCAATATCCACTAACATTTACGCAGATAGACAGATAGATAGACAGGTGGATGGATAGGTAGGTAGATACATAGTTACATAACTAGGTAGATAGATAAAACAGATAGATAGATAGATAGATAGATAGATAGATACATATATAGATAGATAGATAGATAGATAGATATCTAAGTAGATAGAAAGACAAACAAATAGAAAGATAGTTCGATAGCTATAAATATCTGCATACATACATACATACATACATACATACATACATACGTACATAATACATAGACATATACATATACATATGTGTGGGTGCAACGCAAAATATACCATTGGGAATTGAAAAACACTTATGTGTATGTAGATACATATACATGCCTGGATGCATGCATGCATACATACAAGCATACGTATTGCATATGAAGTGCATTAGATAGCTCATTATCAATATTAGAGAAGCTCCTTGTCATTTTTTATCCATACACAAAGCAAGCTACATATATACATATATATATATATATATGTGTGTGTGTGTGTGCGGGTGTGTTTTGTGTTTTTTATATTGCACTTTTGAGAGACTCTACTTTGACATATGTGTATATACATACATACGTACATACATACATATATACGTA